GGTGAGCAGGGGAGCTGACAGCCACGCTGGGCCCCTAGGGCTGGCTTAATGCCCCCGGAAGGGGCGGAGCCTCAGATGGAAGGGGCGGAGCCTCAAGTGGAAGGGGCGGGGCTTGGATTGAGCCTCCCCCAGCTCAGCCCTTCAGCACCACCCAGAGCTCCAGCAGTGACTTCTGCAGCAGCAGCAGCGTGGGCCAGGAGCCACAGGCCCTTTTGACTTGCCAGGCCCCGGGCAGCTGCCCTCTTTACCTCCCCCCTTGTTGGTAGGGCTGGGGGTGGGGCCCAATCCCTGCCCTCAACGAGTCTTAAGAGCCTGACTGTGGACTGGAGGGAGGAGCCTCTCTGCAGTCGGGACTCTCCGCTGGGAATCTTCTCCTGAAGTTAGGGTTCGGCACCCATAGGAAGAGGTGGCCGCAGCGGTGGCCGAGGTGCTACCGATGCCTAAAAGACCACGTGAGACCATTTTTAGAAGTCCTGGGCCTCTCTCGGGACAAACTTAGGGACCCTGACTTTTAAGAAAGTGGCCCTGAAGTTGTGCCCCTGAAGGGGCTGTTGCCGTAGCTGGGGAACACTGGAGTATGTGGGGCTCTGGCCAGGCTCACGGCCAGCTTATAGGGTGCTGTGTAGACTCCCTGGGCCTGGGTGGGCCCTTGGTGATCGTGTCGCCTGTGCAGCCTCCCTGGGCCTGGGTGGGCCCTTGGTGATCGTGTCGCCTGATTGGCCCTTTTGACTATTGCAGGGCTCCCGCTGTGCTGCCGTCTCCTGTGTGGCACAACCAGGTGGTCAGGGCTGCGCCGCACCCCTCTCCAGCTCGCCTGCAATTGCGCGCACGTCTCCGGAGCAGACTGACCCAGCTGCAGTCGTGTGAGATCAGCCTACAGCCTCATCAGGTGACGTAGCCTGGCAAGACAGGTCCTACTTCCCGTTGAAGCCTCTTCTCATTGGCTTACCTCTTCCACTCCGTCCCCACTAATCCAGTCTCCTCCCACCCCTGTGGCTCAGGTCCCCCAGCTGCGGCACTACCATCCTTGTCCGGCCTCAGCGTGTGCCACCAGTAACACCACATTTCTGATCTGGAGAAAAAAATGGTGAAGAGCGGGGTTGGTATCTGCTATGCTGTCTAGATAGGAACTACTTTGCATGTAGAGGCAGCCTGGAAGAACTTTTCTGTCTCTGAATTGACTTGATGTCTAATGCAGTGATCGGCCATGCTGGGCCTAGCATTTGAGACCAACACAGTAGGTGGGCTAATCTCTTTTATTGGGCTGCCTTTCACGGGTGGGAGGTACAGACTTTTGAGCAACCCAGAACTCTCCTGGTCGAGGCAAGGCAACTTGAGTCTGAGCCAACCACAAGTTGGGACAGTTTGTTGAGCATTAGCGACGACCCCTGTTGTAGGAGGCCACATGAATTGGAGCGGGCAATAAAGATCAGACGTAAAAGGAGTTTGATGCAGTTCACCGCTGAGAATTAACCCTCAGGCGTAGGGGAGACTGTTGTAATGAGCACTGAAACCGGCATCCCCACCGCATGGCTTGGTGTCTAGCCATTGTGAATTGCAGGGCTAGTCTTCTCTAAAGCGCTACCATGGCGTCATCGCAGCAGCACATCTGGTGCAAGCGCGCTCAGCTGGCAGCAGGGAGCTCTTGTGGGGGAATTACTCCACCCTCGTGAGAGGCAGCAGCTGTGTTGCGGGGAGAAGCTCTTCTGCCCGCCTCACGCCATCGGCACCGGTGCTTAGGGCGGTGTTGTCATGGCTCATTCTCCACTCTGGCATGATAAATGCAGAAGTGGGGGCCAGCAAGTGTACCCCAAAGCCTTATCTACCAGGCTTCCCCCAAAATCTTAAAAACCTAGATCTTGGGAATAAAACTTCTGCTGCCACCACCCAAATGTTGATAAAGAAATCAGGGGAAAGATCATTTGGGAAATCTCACCCCTAAAATAAAAATCAGGGCACACCATTAACCACTGCCAGGTTAATAAAAGGAAAAGAAAGAACTTTTATTATTACAACAATATTCCTGTTGCAAGTATAATGACTAGATAGGGAGGTAACAAAATATACTCATGGAGAAACTCCATGGGCCTAGAACTTAGTAACAAAGAAAAACCAAAACATCTTTTCAACAGTGCCAGATCTCAGATCCCATACCCAACCCTTAAAACAATAAAGCCTAACGAAACTACCTAAACTTTACCCTACTTGCAGAAAGTGAAGCATTGTTTCTTGGAGGGAGAGAGAGACATGCTTGTCCCTCCCTGTAGCTGCAGAGGACTCACCCTCTCAGAGAGACAAAAGGAGAAAGGAAAAAACCCAAATTCCTTTGTCCCAGTTTGAAAGTCCCACCTACATTCCTATTGGTCACTCCACCTGGCTAGGTGTAGTTTACCCCTTAAACCCCAGGGTGCTGGCTAACCCTCATAATCATGACAGGTGTCACGCCCATCTCTCGTGTTTGGATCGTTGAGACCCCTGAGCCACACAATTACACCGAAGTAAGTGGCAGTGGAGACGAGCCCGACGTCCCACGAGCCTGATGAAGATGGTGGGGAGCCAGCGGCCTGTGAGGCCTGGTCGGTCAGCCTTGGAGTGATAGCTCTGCAGACTGTGTCACCTGCAGGTAATGGGCTGGGGGGGGTTGTCTTGTATGGCTTGGCCACGTGGCTCACTGACAAGGGGAGTGATTGCGCTTGCACCTGTAGTAGTTGGGGCATTGAGGGCACTGGGTGAGGAACACCCCCCCCCGTGTGTGTGGGGGGGAGGGGGGAGACCCGCGTACATTGAAAAGTGTGTTGTACTGTAGTGGGCCTGCATCACGCTGGAGCCGCCTGCCAGCCCTTGTGACTCGGGCGCCATTTTATTCTCAAAATGCATCCTCTGCCCAGCACGACCTCATAGGCACCAGCCGTGCAGTGCCACGTCTGCAGCGCTGGAATGTTTTTAATCACGGGGATGCTGAAAGCCAGCACCACTGCAAAGCCCTCTCCTTACCTCATGCCCCTCCTATCCTCTGACCATACCATGCCCCCCTGAGGTAGGGGAAGGGAGCTGAGACTGGAGCCACAGCTGAGGGCAGAAGTGAAGCGCCAGGTGCAGAATTAGAGGGAGTGGAGCCCCACGTAAAAGCAGGCTAATTCTGACAGCTATGAAGGGCGGAATACCAACCCTTAAAAACCAGGACTGCTCTGCTGGTGTTGGGGAGTGGGGGGGCTACTGATCCCCGCAACAGTGGAGAGCTCTCTGCAGGTTTTGCATTTGTTCAGGAAGGGTCTGATGCTGCTTTGCACTGGTGTGATCCAGTCTGCAGGGACTTTGCTTCTGGTGGTTTGTGGGGTAGTTGGGGGATTATTTGAAGGCCAGAAGAGGGGGTTTGGGAAAAGATCCAGGAATCTTGGCACTCAGTCTGAACCTAGTAGCTTTT